CCCCAAAACCCCAAAACCCCTGATTGAATGATTCCTTAAATTACTAATTACGAATAATTTAAGCATATAAATAATTTTTCTTATTATATTCTAAGAAATATATTAATCATATTTTTCAAAAGCTTTTACCGTTATAAAAGAGATCATCTGTATCTTGTTTTGCGATCTTATCCTCTATATCCTTTATCATCTTTAGATTATAATTTAAATTGCCAATGTTATTATTTCTTGCGAGTATTGGTGGTTACCCAAATTACTAGTCTTCATTCAAATTATAAGCGTAGCCTATTTCATCTTCAATAAATATCTCACTATCTATAGAAAATTTTCTATTTGTTTTATATTATCATTTTCTCTATCTTAAAATTCTTCTGATAAAATGGAATAAATCTGCCACAATGAAAAAAGAGTTGTAAATTAAGTAGATCAAGACTAAAATAATTGGTATATATCCAAAGATAATTCCAGTATTTTAATCAAGATAAAAATGATTAACAAATGGAATAAAACTATAGCAAATTATCAAGTAAAAAAATTCATTTGTTATGACCAATTTAAAATAAGACTGATTTTAGAATGGCTTAACAGTAATCAAATAAAGCAAGACAATAAATGTAAGTTAAATCTGCATAGTAATCTACATCTACTGATGATCACCAAGTATAACCATTATCAAAGAATATAAAATTCTTCTAATCATTTATAAAGCAAAATAGAATTCAGTATATTATTTGTTCAAATCTAAATTATCATAGCAGACTTAGAATCTTTAGTCTAATTTTCCATTTTCCCTTTTAGAGCATCTTACAATAAGGTAACTGAATATTGGCAATATGAATATTGATAGCATAATTATAATCGATAGAAATGACGCCATAATATCACCTAATTCTGAAAATGAAACCTAAAATGATAAAAATTGATATTGTTACTTTTTAAAGATTAATTAAAGAGCAAATGCATAATTCTAGTGATGATTCATTTAAAAATCTCAATATCTAATTGTAAATTATCTTTTACCTCAAATATTTCAAAAATTTGCTAAAACCACATTTAATTAATTAAATTACTTTTATAAATCAAGGCCTAACAGCTTTATTGAAAATCCTACAAATAAAATAATCAAATTTAGGAATAGCATGTAGAGCATAAGCCCTAGATTTTTTATTAGGTTGTTTGATCTATAGTTCATAAAATCAAAAGCATTGTTATATGGCTAATCGTCAAAGTAATTGAAAGTCCATAAATTATCATTAAAATCATCTGTTGGTATTAGATTTAAACTTGCCATGTCATTTATTAATCCAAAAAAGCTAAGTGTGTTTACTGGTACTTGAATTGACATCATCGGCAAATGAGTAATTAATTGAAATCCCTCAATCATCCCCCATAGATATTGGGCACCTTGACTCCTATAAATATATTCTTAAACTCATCTAATTGTACAATAGAAGATTAATGAAAATGCTTGTTCCGAATACTGTGCCCATAGTCCATTAAACAGTAGAGGCAACAGCAGAACTTAAATCAAATTATCCCTAACTTAGTTGAGGAGGCATTTGCTTATAAATTTTGTATTTAACAGGAATCTTTCTTGATAGATCTGCTGAGTAAAAGTAATCTCTTTTGATGAACTATACCTCCAAAGTATCTAACTATAATTATTAATTATTCAAATATTAATTACTTCTGGATATGAAATAGAAGACACTGATAAATTGCTCTTACTATAATGTAGCTATAAAACTAGTCTGTTAGACTTCATTTAGAGTCCCTCAAAATTTAAAGGTATCTATTTTAATTGATCATTCTTTAATATTGAAATCTGTAGTAAAACTGAAAGCTTTGACAATGTTTATGGGTTATAATCTAGTGGTTACTCAAATTCAATAGAAACTTATCCAGTATTGGTAATTTTGATGATCTTAGCTTGCAGATTTGGATTTGAATTTATAATTCTCTTCTTTATTTGCTCCCAATTTAAGCTATCTGTTTGACTGACGACTTTGAGAAGGAATGTATGCTAGGAATAAGTAGTTTAATCTTCAATTTCTCTTAAAACCACTATGAGTTCAAAAATTCCAATTTAATCAGCTGAAGGAGAAAATGTTAAAATACTGCCATCAAATTAAGTAAATTTATCAGCCTCTGAATTAGTTGAAGCCATTGAAACAATAAAAAGATTATCCTCTTTGTCTGAACTCGATGGAAGGGTATATTTGCTCTAAATACCAGCCATAATTATTTGATCACTCAAATCTTAGCTGAATTAAGGAGGGCTGTTTTAAGGTCTTCTCTAGAATAGAGATATTCTGAATGATCTTTACTAATATAATTCAGGTTTATCATAATTATTAAGAGTAACTGCTTTTATTTACAATGTTATTTTTTAAGTAGTGTTAATTAGCTCTTAGGAAATTTGTGTGTTAATTTTGAATTGATAGTTATCAGTATTAAGTGAGAGAAAAAGATTATGGATATCTTGTTCAGATATAAGTTTGTATTGCAAATAATTCACACAATAAGATGTGCTATATTTAGGTGGTATAAATCCCCATTGAAGCATAGGGTCCCCAATGTAGTAAACTTTATTATTTAAGTTGGCATTAGATAAAAATGCTACATAGTCATCACAGTTTTTTAATAGGAATTAAAACTATGCTTCTTCATTAATACCAACTCCAATCTCATATTCATCAACACTATAAGAAGCCCGAAGTTTGAAATTATAAATTTTGTCTCTACCTAAAATACCTAGTAAGTTTGCGAAATCTACATTAATCTCATGCAAATAAGTGGCTGTATTGTTAAAATCTAGGATTAATTAGCCTTCATAGACATCAAATAACTTGAACGTTAATTTATATTTATCCTGGCAAGTGCCTATAGTATAATTTCCAATTTTTAAATTGCATGGTCTTTGATAAATACAATTAGCTATACCATACTAAATTTATTAATCTGGGACAAACTTTATTTATAATTCTCCAGCTTGATTACATTATATCATTGTATTTGTGTAAAGCTGAAATTGATTTTTATATAGATCAGCGTCAAACTAAACTTTGATTCTTGTTAAATGATTTTGATCATAGAGAAGATCCTGGTTTATTGCAATTGTGTAAATTCCTGCAATTGAATTACTAAGTGTATAAGTAGTATAGGATGATACATCTTATGTTATTATTGAAAAGCAATTCATAGGTGAAAAAGTAGCACCAATCATTCCAATTTAGCGAGTTAAAGATTAAACTATGTTTGCAGCATAGTAGAAATCAGAAATATATACTCCTTTGTATATCATCCTTCTGAATGATATTTAACTACCTTGGTCAATTGTGTATGGTATTAGATCTACCAAACCGCTATTTGATGTAAATTTCATTTTGTTTGTTGTCATTGAGAACAATCAGCGAGCATTTGAACTTACAAATTATGCCATAAAATGTATCTACAAAACAACAGATCCTACATATCTAATCCCAAGACAGCTATATATATCAGTAAATGATTCTATTGAATAAGTGAAAACTCTTTACCTATTAGCTTTATCAAAAACGAAAAAGCCAATGAATGAATTTGTAAATGGTGAAACTACAAGTGATTTCTATAAGCAGCCAAATATGTAATCTTTATCATTAATTGATCTGTATACTCCTGTATATTTATAATCATGTGGTGCAACGCTGTTTGTTAAATAACTCTAATAGAAATCTTTTTAACCTTAATAGTCAATTGAAGCATATACCAAGTTTATATCACTTCCCTAGATTTCATTCCCAAATAAATAAAGTCTTTAGTCTGTATCATCATTTAAAATAGACTAAAAGCTAGGGGAACTTGACCCAAAATAAAAACTCAATTTCCATTGAACCTGATTAAGATCAGAATTCATCTTAATAATCTAATTGAATATAATTGAGTTACTTATCAAGTAAATGTTATAAGAACTATCAATAGCTACTCCTTGAAAGAGATAATCATCACTAATTTGAGAAAATGTTGTTGCCTAATTTATATCTCCGTTTAAAGAAATCTTAAGAAAAACCAAGAAATTATTTTATGTGTGCATGGAAGCTATAATAATAGTGTCTCAAACAGCTAATGAAAAAATGCTTGTAATGTCATATCCAGGAATATTTTAAACTGTATACCTCTTGAACCATTTTAACCTGTGTTGATTTAAAACATTGCTAAAGAATCCAACTATAGGTAGTTTTAAATTACCATTTGAATTCTCATAGTATCCTGCAAAAATAAGATTCCCATCACTTGACTACAACTCCATAGAATCAACTCAAAATTACTCAGTCATATCAGAGCTGCTGAAACCAATAGGGAATTATTTGCTGTTGAAGCAGGTAGTCTATGCTGTAACTAATGAGTGTATTGTCATTAGGATCACTAACATTTTAATTCTTAGTTTGTTAGTTATGCAATATAGCAAGGAGTAGTTTTTCTTGAACATGTTTAATTTATTATTATAATTGAATCTATGCAAGTTAACATAATACTTCCTATTTTATCATTAATATTCTGCTTAGTTAAACCTAAGATTTCATTAAACCTTTAAGTTTCTTAAATCAAAAATATTTAATCTTTTTAATTCTGATTTTCAATAATTACTTTTATTCACTTAATACTACTTCTCGGGGTTTTGGGGTTTTGGGG